CAGCTGTTTAAAGAACAATATATGAGAAATCAGCCTTCAAAGTTTATGATTTCAGGCATTTTTCATGTACAAACTATCTTTAAATCCTTAAAAAGTGTTGTTTTAACATTGAAAATGAGGAAAATAACAGCATAGAATGATGTATAGATATATAAAGGTTAGTTTAGTGCAATAAAATAGATTTTTAAAAATTTGACATTCCAGCATGTTTTGGCCATTTTCTCTGAAACATGATTTGCGACAAGTGACTGGTTTGGCTTGTCTTTGCCACTTATTGTTCCATGCATTTCAGTGGAACACGGTGGAACACTTTTTTTGTGTGGAGAACTCTATCTTGTATTTCTAGTATCTTTGATATAAAGTAAAATTTACTCTTTTTCTAGGCAATCACTGTACCTGCAATGGCTGTCAGCCATATAATGTTGGAGGCATATAAGAAGTACATTCTGGTGTGTTTGATCCACCACGGCAAGCTACTTATGTTACCCAAATACACCTCAGGTGTCGTTAATAGGTTCATCAAGGTAAGCTGGAGACAATGTGCACTGATTGCTGGGAGGCAGTTGCTGATGTGTACCAGAATTTTATATTAATTTAGAATTTTTGGAGATGATGTATGCAGGGAATGATCTAATACATGGAACATAAAGCAAAAATATATCAGATGATCATAGGGTGGATGATCAACAAACGTGTTTTTTTCTTTGCTAGTTGGAAAATGATGTAATTATATTCTGATCAAACACTTTTACTTGTCTTACAGACAAAAATCTGATGGTGGTGTACAGTTTACCAAGATTTTGTAGATCCTTTCCAATATGTGGTTGCAAGATGTTCGTTTCTTTTCAATGTCTCTAACATTTCTTCACTATTGTGTAAAATAAACTTCTTTATTTTATCATTGTAGCCACTGAGCCAGGCTTACCATGACCTAGCCAATTCGTATGTGAGCATGAATCCAGCTGACGTACAAACAGTCGTAGCCAAACACACAGAGCAGTTTACAAGCGTACGTTTTCCATTTTATACCATCAAACAATATAATTAACATTAATAATATACAGTTAAACTTGCCTAAGCTTATTTTACATGCCAAATTGTTGTGTTTTTTCCATTAATAAACAATCTGTAAGTCAAATTTTATCTAAGTCAAACAATTTTTCAATGGCATTTTGGATTCTTAGGCAAGTTCAACTGTAGTGGTAATATAATGTTAATATTAAACATCTGAACTTACTGTGGAAGTAGTGGGTACAATACTATAATAATAAGCAATAAGCCAATTTGTGGTTTCAACTGCATATGCCCATGTCAAGGTCAGTCAACATAAACAAGCATACACACAGCATAAGTCTATGTCAATTGGCTTATTGTTTGAATGCAGCCTTAAACCCTGTCCAGACTACCACATTTCATTTGATAAAAGCATGTGACATGCCTAAATATGGTCGTGATTACATCACGTCATGACCATATATAGGCAAATCATCACTATATATGGGCATACAACATTTTCTTGTTGAAAGAAAATTTGATTGTGTGGACATATTTTTCTCAATAGGATCAAAACACTGGCCTGGTGAAGCAGGTTGTTGCCTCCATGTACAGGAAGAATATACAAAGGTTAACAAAGGTATGAACTATTCTTTTTTTTCTAATAATTAATGAGCACCCCTCTGAAGAAAATAGAACCGTCCATTTTAGAGCACCAATTAACCAGGTCAATGCTTAGTGATTGAATTAGATAGCTATTTATGTTTTAGTGGCAGATCATTATGGATTATAGGTACATGTACTGAACATTCTTACAAATTTATCTATGCTGCTCTAGAGCCAATCACAGGATGAAGAGCTCATGATGTTTTAATTTTAACAGACAGAATGATGTCCTTGCTAAATTAAGTTATAATTTTGATATTTTTAAATTCATTTTCTGTTCATTTATAAATGTTTTATTTTTTCTCTAAATATAGAATAGGGAGATGTCTTTTAATGTAGACGGCTGTTTTTTATATGAAAAATTGAATAAATGTGATGAAAAATGTAATCCATACTAATATACTTACCCAAGAAACAAACATAGTTAGGACTTACACTCTCTACTTGTTAATATCAAGTAAGGCACCTACACTAGTTAACCATTATTATTGACCTTAGACAGTACATGTTTTTTTTTTATTTTGGCAGACATTCCTCACGTTGTCATTGAGTGACATTGCCAGAAGATGTCACTTATCAAGTGCCCAAGAAGCTGAGAAGTATGTACTTGACATGGTGAGTTCCATTTACAACATTTCTTGTGCTGCCATTTTTATTTTTAATAATAAAATTTACCAAAAAAATAAACATGTTTACACTTGGTTTTTTGTGATTCCTGTTTGTTCTCTACCTGTTGTTTTGACACTGCGACTGTGACGTTTGCGCTTTAAAAATCGTTATTATTATATATGTGTAATTTTTAACACTGAATTCTATTTAAGCTTTTTTATATTCATTTTGTTTTGTTTATCTTGCCTTGTTTATAAATATGTACAAGAAGACTTACATTGAAACTTGTAAAATAGTAGTCTCATGTTTTCCCCATAGAGGGCGGCGGGATCGCCAAAATGTAAAATAAGTTAAACTCTAGGTAGCTCTCCACGTGATGGGGGAAACAGAGACTAGTATAGAATATTATATAAAATTGACAAAATAAAAATAAAAATCTATAAAAATAATTGGATAAATAATGCTATATACACACATATATATATATATCTTGCAATAACTGATTACATGATAATTCAGTTTCCTAATTAGTTTTCAATAATTATTTATTTAATTAATAATTATTATTTATTAATCAGTGCAACTCTCTAAAAATATTATATGTAGTAACACTATGAATTAATAGAAATAATGTTTGGTAATTGTAGAATGCCTTTAACAATCTTTTGACTGCATTTCTAAAATGAGGATGATTGGTCATATTTTGTTCATGTTCAAAATTGTTTGTGTGCTATTTTATTGATTAGAAAATTGTTTTGTATGTCATTATGAGGAAGATTTAATGGACTATGTTTATTTGTATTCATATTTCTTCACCTTTATATTTTTTGCTGTTAATTATTTCTAAATGGGCTTTGCAGATAGATGATGGTGACATTTTCGCATCAATCAACAAGAAAGATGGAATGGTACGATTCAAAGACAACCCAGAAAAATATGACAACCCAAGAATGCTGATGCTCATGGACGAGGAGGTAGGTAGTCGAGAATCAGGACAACCGCCCAGAGTGGCTTCATATATTTCCGACAGGGGTCCATCAAGTCCGAGAGGCAGGTCCGACCCAAGGGACTGGTTACACCTTCAGTGTAAATAAATAAACCACCGTGGGAGAAAAATTTGCAAACGTTTACCATGCTGTTCTTCGTTTGAACTTGGAAGTAAATGAGTTTTCCTATGTTGGACTTTTTCAAGTATTTTTATCCTTGTGAAACACAGGAGGCCATACTAAGGCTACGTTCAGACTTGGAGATAAGCTAGGCTTGAGTTAAGCCCGGCTCAACGTTGAGCCCGGCTTGATTTTGCCGGGCGTTCAGACGAGCGGGATTGGCGAGAGAATTTGCATAATAATGAACCGTAACCAGGAAATGTGTTTCAAAACATTGCTCCATCACAGCGTACGTAATTGAATGCTGATTGGTCATTTTGTTACCCGAAGTTAATGCAAGACCCCCGGCTTAGAAAAGTTAAACACGGTGGCACGCCAGGCCTAGTTATAAGAAGGCAGCCCCGGCTTGAGATAAGCCACCTAGTTCAGATTGGCAGGTATATAAACCCGGTGAGTTGAGCCTGGTTTATCCACCTACAGTAGTCTGAACTAGGCCTGAGCTTACATACTTCAAGGCTGGTGTAGCAACTGCTATGCTTTTGTACTCCACCACCCACACCCCATCAAACAAACACTACCACAACTACTTTCACCCACTAGACTTCTAATTGTACAATTCATTGTTTGTATTGAAGATGAGGAAATGTATTCAGCTTGATGCCAAACTCAAGGAGATGGAGCAAGAGATAACAACAAACCCACAGTTTGTCCAAAAGGTATGTACTCCACAGGCTTACGTTTATAACAGTATACTATGAAAATGAGGTACATAAGCCAGTCTTAACGAGGTTAGAAATATTTGAAATGCCGATATTAAGTGTGATGTTTTGTCCAGATCTGGTAACATAAGAATGTAAAGAAGAATTTTTTTTTTTGTACATATTTTTATCATATCTTTATGATGCATTTTAATGCATTTTTGTGTATTTTATATTTTATTCCATTTATAATATTTTAATAATAATAATAAAAATAATAATAATATGTAGTATTATCCAATCTGTTCAATGATTGCTGTTGCAGTTAAGTTAATTATGAATATAATTATTATTATTATTATTATTATTATTATTATTATTATTATTATAAGTTACCAAATTCTATTGCAAATATCACTCAAATGTCCACATTAAAAATCAAGTTTATTGAAACATTTATAAACACATACAATGCAAAATTCTTTAATTTAATTTCACTATTATGATCATCATTTTGAATTCCTGTAATGTTTTTTTATTGATTTGTCTTGTAATTTAACTTTCATTGTTTTCATTATTTATTTTATTTGTTTACTTAGTAAAACTAATTTGAATTAGTGGATATTGGATTTTTATAAAGAAAGAATTAACATTATTTTTATGAATATGGTTTATTTATCATTCTTTTGACCTTCAAATGTATAATGTGTTTCTGCAGAGTATGGGAATCAGGGAAGATGATGATATGCCATCATTGGTAGCAGGGAGCAAGTGACAACCTGTTGCAGTAGGCCTATATAAATTTTAGAAACTGGGATGCTCTAGGCCCAGTAAAATCCAGGCTGGTGAAATGTGTCAAATACTATAATTCATCAGTGTTATGTGTCCATCGATGGAGCTTCAGTATGCCTAGAGGCATAGACGTGTATTTTCTGCTACAGTGAGAAATCTTCCCGCACTATTTTATTACATTCGTTGTAATGTCATTTTATTCGTAGTAAATACGAGTGTCTCATCACTTTTAGGATGAATGATAATACAAAATGTTATATGGGGCGTGTGCTCGGAACTATGTAGCGAACATGCCCTGGTACACCACGTCCGTGTGAAGACGCATACGTCTAAGATTAGCAAGCATTTTTCATGTATATTAGAGTAAAAGAAACAGCTATCGTAGATGCTTGCAACATTTTGAGATATTTAGCGTGGATATATAGGTATTCTATTGAGGCAGAGCTTGTTTATCAACTATCGCAGGTATCTTCAATGTGCGACCTTTAGCAAGGCTAAAATTTACACGTGAAGAAAACAGTGATTTCAATAGGAAAATTTTTAGGTTTGTACACATTTTGTGTAATATTTTATATAACGCAAATCTCCTTATGAAGGTTGGTTGGTTACTTACTGGATCCTCTTGGCCACCTGGGGAGAATAGGGCATCCACTATGAGTCTCCAACTCACTCGCCTCTGTCCGCAGCCTTTGCCTGGGATATCTTAATCTTTTTTTGGTCATGTTGGGTAGAGTGGACTGCCCTGGTTTTTTTCTTCCTTGGGGGTTGTAGTCAAGGTCCTGCTTGGTAATCTGATGTCTGTAGGGTCTTTTCTTGAAGTATGGCATATTTATCCCCATTTTCTTCACCTTATTGGATATTTATGAAGTTTAAAAGATAAGAATTCTGACTGCTAACTATGAGTATGCTCATCACATTGGGTGGGACTGAGTCAGTTGATTTGTTTGTATGTTACAGTTTGCAAAAATTGTATACAACATAACTTATTCCTGGATTATTTGAGAAAATAGAAGTATAGCTCTCCACATCTGTTAAATCGACAGTTCCATTAAAATTGAGCATCTCCTAAAAACATACCATGTACCGGTATTCAAATCCTAATGGGGATAAACATTTTCTCAAAGGTACTTTGTTTTCACAACATATTCGGTATTTTATTGATGTTGAATTACACAATGCCTTTTACAGGTAAAATTTAAGAAGCGTACACAACTTAGCCTCCGCGCAGTCTGTAGAGCGACTGAAACTTATTAGGATATCGATGCGCATGGTGAAACACATGAGCACTGAGTTCTGTCAGACAATTGATAGTAAAGTAAACATGCAAATATAATGAAATTATGGGTTATTTTTTTCTTGCCTGCAGGAGTGCGAGAGTCCATCCTAATTTCAAGGACTTACGACCCCTGGATTTATATAAGCAACTCAGCAAGAGCATTGATTTGCTGAATACCATCAGAAAATTATAGATAAATATTAATGTTAATGTTTTTTTTTTCAATTTATAACATGCAATTTAAATAAACTTTATTTTGTTACTAGCTCTGAAATTCGCATTTATGTTTTTCTAAATTAGTTTGGTTAATTGATTATGTATTTGTTAATGAAATTTCTATATATTATTGCAGTTTAAGTAAACATATAATAAAGTGTATGAAATATTAATTGGTTTTTTTAAAATTAATACAAATTAATTAACACTGTAATGACTGATCCTGTCAAAGGTTTTTTCTTCACACAAGTTCATATGAAGATAGAGGGCGGTATTTTGAAATGACAGCTCTAAAACTAAATCCAAATTTTGAAGCTAATGAACTTGAAAGATAAAAAAAACTGAATTGTATTTGTTGAATTGCTTTCTACAACACTGATTACAGACAGTTTGTGGGAACATTGCAGGCAGAAATTGCGCTGTCTGCAGTTGGTACTGTATTTTTCAGGGAAGGATCAAGAGAAAAATTTGGGTAAAGGTTATGCATCGTGCGAAGCAGTAAACAGAAGGGTGGGGTTGTAGTGTTTTGGGATTTTTGTTTAGAAATGCTTGAACATAGACATTGGTATTAGTAAAATTAGCTTGTTTTTGAGTACCGTGCTCCCTTCTTTCTCCTTTCTTTTCTTTTCTCTCTTGTATTTATTTATTTATTTATTTTTTGGTTGGTGACTAATCCCCATTACGTTTCCCCCCCCCCCTTCCTCTGGATCCGCCCCTCTATGTACGTTTTCCCACCGATTAACAGGCAATACGTTTTTTCTGTGTTCTTTACATAGACCCGTAAATTACGAGTAAATTCATTTGAAGAATACATAGTAAAAAGCCTCTAAATCACTAAATTGTTTTGAAATTGTTTGTGTTTTCCCCTGATTTTACTACAACCAATAAACCTTCAATGTCCATATTACAGTATGTACATTTTTTTGTTGCAAATGAAAAGTATTTCATTTGAAAAGATAACTATTATACCATAGCAAACATGGTTATATTAAAAATTATGAAACGAAATGTGTCGCACCTCGTTTGATTTCGCATCCTGTGTAGTGATTATAGTTCCATTGACCAATAACGTAAGCTAGTTGATGGGTGTTCAAAGGCTCTTTTTATAAATAACAATTGACAGAGAACACATTGACATTTTGCCTGCTGTATTTTTATATAAAATAAGTAAACAATATCGAGTAAATCAGTAGAGGATCCTCACTAAAGGCCAACTCAGGACAGCGTCGTACGACGCAGCTCGACGCGATTTGTGTTCGCGTCGGGTCTGTGTGTGAGTTAAACGCAGACGCGATGGTTTGCGTCGGGGGAAGTCGCATCGTAGAATATTAAACATGTTTAATATTTCTCACGACGGCTTAAGACTGTCCCCGACGATGAATCGCGTCGGACTGCAAAAATGCAATGCGCCGGAATGCAAAAGAGTCCTCAGTGATCACTTGCAGTAAATAGATTTATAAGAGTGAAATTTCACTCTATCCAGAGTGATTTTTATCGAAGAAAACGTCTTCGATTTCAGAAATTTTCACTAAAAATTGATTAATTCTTTTAAAAGAGTGAAACATTAACTCGGGAAAGACACTCTTTTCGAGTACTGAAATACACATTGCTTTAATTAAGACTTGTTGACAAAAAATTTACTCGTATATTACTCATTACGTTTCCCTGTTGAATCATAATTTACCCGTATATAAAACACATTGCGTTTGCAATCGTAATACGTAACAATAAGTCTTGATACAGCAGGGCATTTACGAGTCATGGGACGAGAACGGGCTTTCTTTGTGGGGGGGGGGGGGCAATGCATGTCAGTGAAGTTTCTGCACACGAAGTGGTCGATTGGTTGGGTTTTTAGAGGAAAATAAACTCTGAATACATATTAAGCTTTGTCAATCTAGTGGTCATAAATCAATCAGTCTAGTTTTATTTATAAACATTACAACTTGGAAAAGAATATTCGAACACTAAAAAGTTATAGACCTACAGATTATTTGGCCCCTAAAATACGGTATAGAGGTGTACATTTAGCCTATGTCTAACAGTAAAACCTTTGATCGAGGTTTTCTTTGGGTCGTAAGAGGGTGAAGTGTACTAGGTTAATCGATTATAGCGATAAAATGCCACTCTTTCGACAAAAAGCTACTAATCCACAAGCGTCCGATCCTCAAACGACACCATTCGAGGCTACGAATGTTATTGTTTTGTAAGTATGGATGTATAGGCCTATGCCTAGGTCTTCAAAAGTTCTTTCATTCATATTGTTATCAATTTATCGATTTAAAACCGGAATTTCGGCCTCTGTTGTTTAAATTTAGCTTTATGTGCTTTGCTTCGGGACCGTCACGTCCGTGAGGAATATGATAACACAATATCACGTTAATGTAGGCCCTTTTGTAAATTGTATTCGTCAACAATTAGCGTTCTCCTTTGTAGCATATTATAACCATACATATTAGATACAACTCGTAATCATACTTTTTCAGTTTATTAGCAATGTTATTTTCGTACAAAGCGTAGTATAAAAAGCACATTAACTTACTTGAACTTTACTTGAATGTGTAATTCATAAACGATTAGTGAGTGCATGGAGGTATCTAATTTTATACCCTCGTTTTGTGTGCGAATGACATGCACGCGTACATGACGTCACAGATCGTTTACTGCATCATTAACAAAACCATTTTACAATAAAAATAAATCCCTTTAAGGATAAATAAATTAGAACTTCAACCTGATTGCCGGAAATGATAGTGAACTACCCCAAAATTAACGAGGGAAAATAAAAATATATATATATTGATTCCAGCAATCGCGCGATATAACAATAAATCATCATAATCTTGGGCAGTCTTGGATAATTACCCAATGACGTCATACCACCTGCTGTTGTATACGGTCTCATCATCCACAATCCCCTTCTCAATAATCCACATTAGGCCTATAAAATGGCGCATTATTATAATAATCTTTGAATGCGCTAAAGCAGATTTTGTGCGTGCGTACTTATTATAAATTCATGGCTAGATGTTATGTTGTCGAGGCTCCAGCCTGTACGTTAGGGAGATTGGTCATCATAAGTAAGAGCACCATTTTTGTTACCGTATCTGTTTACACCACCAAAGTTTTGCTTACTCAAGTAGTTAAATACCACCTTATATCACATCAATTTCACCAATAAGCGTATCCCAGTTATCGTCCCCACTTCGATTGCATTCTTCCACTCCTTCCCCCATCACTCCCTTCCTCCGATGATACGCTTCTGTTCCTGTTTGTAAACCAAATCTAAGTTGATTTGCATCTGTGATCTACTTTTTCTTCGCTTTCTTCTTTCCAGCTGTGGAATAAAAGTGCATACATGTTGTAAGTAGGCCTAATTGTGAGTTTCTGATGGGGGTCTGGCAATTGAACTTATGCCCATCTGTCCCATGACCTCGGACCCACACCCGGACTCGGTCTTGAACCCAGACCGTATTTTTGTCTTGACAAACTTTTTAGCCAACACGAATATTGCATTGATAGTTTTTTCCCCCTAAAGTCAATGATTGGTTATGATGAATGTTGTATTGTGTGACAACTTACATTTCTTTCCTTTTTTCTTCTTTCCACCTTTCGGATCCACGACCTTTCTCACGTAAGCTACAAATATAAGTAATTCAATAATTTGCAACATCACAACACATTGATGAAAACTAACCATCATACATTCGGTAAAAATTGCATTGCCTGAAAACTGAGAATTTATTTTGCTATTTACTATTAAAATCGAAAACTACGCCTTTGAAGTACAGAAACGTGAGTCCATGGGACATGCGCGTATTTCCTGTCTTCGTTCTGGTTGGCAAGTCAGTATAATTAGCATTCACCGGAAAGGTCTATTTGCACACAACTATAACTTAAAAAGAACATTTTGCATGGCCAGTCGTGTATTTGGGTTTCACTCACCTACTGCCCTTTTCATGTCGCATGCCTCTAAAGCCTCAAGTAGTCTCCTTCCAGTCGCCGATGCACCCGCTGTTTTTTCCCATAATAGCAGGCAAAATAACGCCTGTTCCCGAACTCTAACATACTTAGCTTCAACTTTTGGTATACTATTAGCCACGCCCAACTCGAGTGCTAGTCTCTTCCAGTGATGGCCTAACATCTTTGACGCCGGTTCAATGATATGCATAATATCTATTGTAGAGGAAATGAGCCAAAGTATTTATTTTGTCAAAATATGTAAATTTATAAGGTATATTTATTTATATCTTAGGTATTTAAATATTAATTTCACTGGCGATTCAGATATTACCACAACCACATTCTGTTTTGAATAAAATTATTGTACCGTATTGTAGAACAGTTCTGTTAAAGCAGTCCGTCTATATCAATGAGATTCAGACATAATATATACTTTTGGACCTTTCTGGAGTGCTAATCAGCCGTAAAAACTGACCTATCATACCATCGCTAAGAATACGCGCTTGTCCCATAAACACGTGCATCACAAACGCACGTGTTTACGTACATTTACGCTATATTTTTGTGAACATTAGCAACAATATCGAAACTTAGCGGTATGGTCCCTTGTAGAATCACATCACAAACATTTCAAAGTGACCTTAAACCATCTCGTCCATCTCGAGCACAGTAATGATGTACAAAAAATAAGCATTCGCTACTTTTCTGTCTCTAAAAATACAAAACTCTATAATATTAGGCCCTGTGTATATTCTAGACCTATAGATTAGTGTAATTTTTAAATGTAAACCCACGACTAGTGATTAGTTTCAAATAGAATGATAGACTTAAGGATAGGCCCTATTAGTTAACTGTGGTTTCCATAAAATCGCTACCCGCTATCCCCACAGATTTAGGTGATGCTGATTGGTCGGTCGAATCATCAGGGAGCCTTCCCGATTGCGTCGGGGACTGCTACGCATTACATTGCATTGAAAACACTGTAGCGAGAGTGTAGTAAAGGAAAGCAGGCTTTATGCACCACTAACTTCTCTATATATTAAATACTTACTTGAGAAGTGTTTTTTCTGAAGTAAGTCAGCTAATAGATTTAAGTTCATCACAATCAGCCCTCTAGTGAAAACATCGAACTCACGCTGCCCCCTAGTGAGCAACTCATTTAAAATTAAGTTGTTAGCCTCCACCGGAATCCCTTTACCGCCGCGTCGAATCCTCTGCGCAGTGTCACTGTCGAAGACCATGTTACGTTGCAGATGCCGAAGCATCTCATTTGGTAAGACATTGCTCACTAGAGCTACCCTGTGGTTCTGTAGTAACTGTCTGCATTCTTCAACGGCTAGAAAGAAAAATAAAATCAAATTTATCTGCGTTCGGACGAGACTCTTTGCACACACCAGGAAGAAGTAGGGCCTACCCTGCTACGCATAGTGCTACGTCTACCGTAGTAGTACCTACTGTACTGCATGACATTGTTGATAACTTACAAGCAATAATCGAATTGTAGTTCAAAAAAGATAACATGGAACCTGGGAAGACGAGTTAATTTATTCAACAAATATTACAAACTTTAATTGCATATTCGAGAAACCGTCGAATGGGTTAACAAAGTGTTCTTGTAACTTAGACGAAAACCAAAATCAAAGTTTCATCAGTAAAAGTCAAATATGTATTTACGTCACACCTATAACCTCATTGACTTAATTACAGAACGATCAAACCGTCCATTAAAATTTTTTTTAAAAATCAAGAACACTGTAAGATAATAAACAACGACAGAATACCGCTATAAAAACACGTTTAATTTAACAAAATTATTCATCATACTTTGTAATCAGTGATCAAATCTAATACGCCTATAATGTTAACCAAAAATCGAGAACACAGTTTTACACGAAAACTATTTAAAAAAAATTACCTAGACCACGAATGAAATAATAATATTCACAAAATAATATCAATTATGCGGAAGAAGTGACTACCTTTGACATTTTCACTATTCTCTTTATCTTCGTTTGGTAGATCTCCAACCTGCAAAGACATCGCCGAGGCTGGTGCTGGCGAATTGTCCTCAACTTTCTTGCTATCGGTAATGTAATCGTCTAATTTAGATGCCATCTCTTTTTCTCGGTGTATTCAATGTATGCGCAAGCCTGTTTACTAAAGTTGTTAATCGTATACACGTATACCAGTTAGTCTGTGTGTGCCTTTTTTTAAGAATGCGTATGTCGATCTTACTGCTGAGACTGTTGCTGTTTGTAGCTAAGCCTATCCTGTCTACTCTTGTTCCATCACGAACCAGTGGACTGGCAAGTAATCGGTGGAACGGAAAAATTAGTCAGGTAATGAAAAGCTTCATTAATCTGTTTGAAAATGACTTCCTGAGTTAATATAACACAAGAACTGTTCACTATGACGTCACGGAGAGTACACACGTTTAACGCTGAACAGGTGTGTTTGTATTTCTAGATATACGAGACTCAGGTACGAGACTTCGGTTCGTGAAATCAATAGACTAGTTGACGTGCTAGTTCACGTTTGCGTCCAGACGTCTGACCTTCAAACGAACAGGTCCTAAGTCAATCCAACAGAACTGTATACAGAGGTACTGTGTTGCAGTCCTTAGGCTGTAGCCCCTGCGTATAATCCGTAAAACCGAACATACACCTTCTTTTACAAAATAATTCTTTATAGTAGCCTTGAGAATAAGCATATGTTAAACAATCATTAAATTGTGTTGACCATTCCACTTACTTTTCTACCCTTTTTTGGAAGCGGATCTCTTCTTGCCTGCCGTCCTCAATATTCATTTAAAGTTGGAATTTTTATGGTTGTTCATCCAGTTTAACTGACAAAATATAACTCAACTGTCTATTGATTGATTTTTTCATTCTATCTGAGTACAGGATTGTTGAGTCGTCGTTTATTAGCCTTCAGTGCCTAACTTTTCACCATTTCGATCTTCATTCGTGGTAGAGTTAGTAGCCTAGCTACTTTGGTACTACTTCATAATTTCTTCGTTGCAGTCCACCATCTTTCGTGGGACATAGGGGCCTCGTACATTAATCTCCTTTGCTATCGTCGGCTTCCCAAAGTAAACCATCTCCTTCGGTTTCTATAAACTTAACCTGTGCCTCCTGGTGTATCCATAGTGTAACCAATCATGTATCTCTGTTCTCGTCACGTAGTACTGAAGATAAAACTTTACCTTGTTATCGATCCGAATAATAGTACAGTAGGTGATTTGTGAAACATGATCGATGTGTTAATAATAATGCTACCGGAGGCCAGACGTTAACTAAAGAAATCTTACCAAAAACCTACCTATGTGATACAATAGGTTTTACGAGGTAATTTCTATAATACAACTTTAATCTTTTAACGAGGGACTAAGCCTATATGTACTTTTAGATTAATTATTTACGTTAATGACAGTCACCCATCTTTCCTTTCTCGTTTATTGAACCATGGAGGATTGGAACTTCAGTTCCACTGTGGCCGTAGCTAAGACGATCATGTTCAAGTACATAAAATATTATAGACTGATTTATTTATTCATTCGTCGTTCATTCATTCGTTCATTAGTATAATATAGTATAATAGTTACTGTTATCCATTTAAAAAAACAACACAGAATAAACTTACAAATTACAAAATCCAGAAATCATTACAGAACCTAAAAGCAGAACATTAACAATAAGACAAAATTAATAACAAAGGATAACCCTTTATCTGGTAGGCTTGTTTCAGAAGGGGTCCCCAACAAAACGAGATACAAACGTGAAGTAATTAAGCATAAGACAAAAAACAGAATATATATATATATATATATATATATATATATATATATATAAACATTTCATATCTCAATTTTTTGTGAAACAGTGCTCAATCCCACTGAAAAATCTATCTCTTATACACATCTAGATGTGTATAAGAGACAGATTATGCACTTGTCAATTGTAGTCCAAACTTCCATGGAAACTGCTAAGTGATACGCACTTGGGTAGCTGTGATTGAACACCTGCTTCAAGAGGGGTAATTGTGGAATGTCAGTTAGTGTTCTTACCTTTAATTTTGTAGAGGGGAATTGTTGTTGTATAGTGCTCTTGTAGAAGGCCCATCCTGAGCAGTAACTAATCATCGCCCATGTGTTCGGAATCTGTGAGGAAAATGAATGTTGGCTAGAAAGTGGCAAATAAAGCTGTCCGTAACGATAATTAAAATACTGTAATATTATTTGTTTTTTAATATTTCGTGATTTCTTGCATTTTAGCATCGTTATGGTTTTGGTCATTTTTAGTTGAATAGGGTACGGTAGCGATTAACAATCCCTACTAAGAAGTAATGACATGTTTACTATCAATAGGCATATCTTATTAGAATACATTTTCCATCTATTCTGGGCCATCTAACAGTAATACAGTACATGACAAAAACGTTAGTGACCCGTGGTTTACTGTAGGTTTCTGTTAGTGACGTCATAATAGTTATAGAAATACATTTTCTGCAATGAGCCCAAAAAATAAATAATTGTATACTCTTTCTACCGTGACTATCTTGCTGGGAATGCAAAGGAGCGTTAGGAATTACATGGAGTTGTTTTCACTGTCGTGATTTTGATAAAAATCGTAACCTCAAAGTTATAGCATTTTGTGCATGAAGAGAAGAAGTCCATTGATCTGATAGTTAACTGAAATTTCACAGATTTAGGTCCTTTTTTGTCGTTCAACATCACCAACATGACTAAAAACATTATATGTACAGTAATTAAGCTTTATTACGAGTTTGGAAGTGTCCTTTTAGTCATTGAAACAAGTTAATAGAGTTAACCCGGAAATCATAGAATGAAAAAAATGTTAATCATCATAGATTCAATCCCGCCTATAGTGTCAAGCATACAATAAAATAGCAATCATTATTTGGGAAATTACATTGTACATCACTGAATAAAGAAAATAAAAGTTTTTCCTGATTCCGTTTAGTTGACGAAACGCCCTAAAAAGGGCTAAAACAGACAAGGCTAATTCTATGTATGAAGGTATTACTACGGTATAGGCCTATTGCTAATATATATTGATCTTAATTTTAATTGCAATTTAATGTACATACCATGGTTAGGCGACTAATTATATAGATCAGGTAGTTAGGTATACGCCAGTTGTACCAGTCTAGGGAGTCTCTGAGAAATCAAAGTCTAGTAGGCCTATTCTTCCTAATGGTTAATAAATCAATAAACACTCTTACCTTCTTAGGCCTATTAGGCCACGCAATGTAGTGCACAGCCGATGAAATCAGTTTGTAGCCTGCCCCGTGTAGGCCTACACTGATATTATACCAACAAGGCAACGTCCACACAAACGTATACCTGTACTATATTTTTCAGCACCTTCACTATAATGGAACGACAACCCGGAAGTTGTAAATGTCTCTATTGTATTGAAAGCAGTAATAAAGCGTGATGTTTCCTAGCGACAGTGTAAGTTTGTTCTTTGTATTGATTGTTAGTGAATGGTCCCGTGCCGGGTTGTGCGACACTCGTGTTGGCTTTTATCTAATTTATAGAGCGTTCTATGTTTTTGTGTGTGTTAGATCCTGGTTAGATGGATCTATTCATGATAATCTCCAAACTAGCTAGCTAACGGGATCGTTAAATTTGAAACTCTCCGGGGTGAAAGTACCCAAAAAGCTTTATCCTAATAAACTACAAGTGAGCAAAGTGCGGCAAAAAAGGCTTATAACCAGAGTTATGTCAAGTGATTAGTTTACAAAACTTGACATTTACAATTTTAAAAAACCGGAAAAAAAACCCCAGCCGTCCCCTCCATTTTATGTCTGTCAGTGCTCCTGGTAGGTCCTTCGCCGACCTTTAAGTATTTTTACCTCCATCCTAATTAAGAGAAAAAAGAAAGAGAGAAGAAGAAAGAAGAAAAAAAAAAAAAAAAAAAAAAAAAAAAAAACGCGCCGGCGTCGTGCCGTCCCATTCAGCGTTTGTCTGTCCGCGCGCGCTTGTTACCGTATTTCCTTCGTCGAACTTACATGTAACCTAATTAACCTCTACCTAACCTAACTTAACTTAACTAATCTTCTAACCTAACCCGCTATAGGGTTTACCTCTATAACCGTGCCCTGTCCGATTGCCATCACGTATGGCGTGCCCTGTCCGATTGCCAGTGCCCGGGTCCGTTTGCGGTGCCGGCGTCTAGAACCTGTGTCTAGAACTTTGAAACGCATGCCTCTGAACATTGAACTCTCTTTGGTACATGTTGATTAGTAAGTTTTTAAGCATACTTATGTGTACGTGTTTAAGAAGTATTAAAAAAAAAAAACACCGTTGTTCTAAGAGAGTTGAACCTGATTACCCGAACATAAAGTCCTACAGCGCTAACCATTACACTATCTGTACGAGTGAACTTGAAGGACGTGCTAATTTGGCAATGTTAAACTATAATTCTTAAATTAATAAAAGAAAAAAACATTTAAAAAAACACGTAATTCTTAGGACTTGATCCCGGTAAATATAAAGCCCATAAACATTTATTTATCTAAGATAAATATTAAAAAGTTAATAATCAATATTAAAGTTAGATTTACATACTGTATTTTAACTCGGAAAAACTGTTTCCATTAAGGTTGTTATACAAAACTACTTTTCACTACATTAACTCCTATAGAACGAAAGACTAAATTTTATTTCTGGAGGAGACAGTGCTCCCAGGGTGGGGTTGAGTTAGGTGTTGATTTGAACCACCTCTGATTTTTCTTGCGAACGTTCAGTGGCGAGTGACGAATATTTCCAGTGGGGGCGCGCTCGGTTTTTGGTGTAGGTGGTACCACCTGAGACACCACTAAACAAAATAGAAGCTAATTTTACCACTTCTGGTTAAGCAACTGACTTCATTTCGAATTTCCTCAGACGCGATGACGTTTTAAATATCAATATATCGTTATCTTGAATTAAATTTTTATAATATATTTTATTATATTGTTATGATGCCTATTAATTTCATTTCTTTTTTATTATATCCATAGTGCCAATACTACAATCACATTTTTGTGGTGCGCGTTGGTATCTGAACAATTGAGCGTAACTATCTGCGTTCCTTATCGTATTTGTAAATTGCTACTTCCCAATTGTCTAGTTTAACTGTAGGAATTCGATAGAAAATAACGAAAAAGAATAACAATAGTTGAAAAACAATTTACTGATTTTCTGTGTTACATCATTTCACAAAATATTATCAGCGAAATGATAAAATAATATGAAAAAATTATACTGAACTTCCCAATTGTCTAGTTTAATTGTAGGAATTGGACACTGATTCAACAAAAATCCGATAGAAAATAAAAGAAAAGAATAACAATAGTAATCAATTGTAGAAAAATAATTTATTGATTTTCTGCTACATCATTTCACAAAATATTATCAGCAAAATGACAAAATACTATAGATTGAAAAACATATGGATAATTAGACGGTGGAACGTCTAATAAGACTGGTTTCCACTAGGTGAATTTATTCGCGCGAATCGAAAAAGCGTCGATTCATGCGCAACCGCATCCACATTTCAATCGGCCAAACTTTCTATTTTTGATTAAAAAAAAAAAAAAAAAATTTTTTTCTTGCAGTGTAAAAGGGGTTATTAAACGAATTCTGTTCCTTGAGTTTTTCGCTTCCTGAGGTCTGATTGGTTGGGAATTTTTTCGCTTCGCAAAAGGTATAGAAATGTGAATGAACCGACGCTTCCCATTCGAACGAATAAATTCGCCTGTGGAAAATAGGCTTCAGTCCACACATCATTTCCGTAATGATTTCTTAGTGGGGACGTACCCCAACCTTAAAGATATGCAAATTGAGTTACAGCCTGCAAAATACACACTTTGAAAAATATAACCTTTCTAAAGCTTCATGTAATATCTCTTTCAGATGGCTATTGGTAATGAGAGGTAGTGTAAAAAAGAGAGGTCAGATAAGGGAAGTGGCTAATATAATGAGATTTAAACGAAAGGGGAATAGAGACAGCATAAAAAATCAGAGCTATACATAATTCATAAAGTATTATTATACACTGTAATTGAAATACAAAAGTTACCTTTCAGAGTCTATGACTTAATTTTATTATATACATTTTATTTATTATATTAATATAAACATTATTAAAACCTCTATGGGATTTGATAGTTTGTTCATCAAATCCAAAACCTCGGAGCCAAGCACAGCTCTCAGGGGAATAGAGAAAGGGGAATAGAGACAGCATGAGAAATGGGCGCTATACATAATTTATAAAGTATTATTATATACTGTAATTGAAATACAAAAGTTACCTTTCAGAGTCTATGACTTAATTTTATTATATACATTTTATTTATTATATTATTATAAACATTATTAAAACCTCTATGGGATTTGATAGTTTGTTCATCAAATCCAAAACCTCGGAGCCAAGCACAGCTCTCAGGGGAATAGAGAAAGGGGAATATAGACAGCATGAGAAATGGGCGTTATACATAATTTATAAAGTATTATTATATACTGTAATTGAAATACAAAAGTTACCTTTCAGAGTCTATGACTTAATTTTATTATATACATTTTATTTATTATATTATTATAAACATTATTAAAACCTCTATGGGATTTGATAGTTTGTTCATCAAATCCAAAACCTCGGAGCCAAGCACAGCTCTCAGGGGAAACGTTTATACATTAATGGGGAGGTTTCGCAGCCTCACGAAAACGATACGGTAACGAATACGTGTACTGTACGTCATTATCATTATCTCCCTAATGTTGCAGAATATGCACATGGTAGGCTTATTCGTAACTACTTAGTATCGATTGGGTGGGAAGAGAAAAGGTTGATTAAAGCGACTTTCCTAATGGCGTATAAAATAACCCTCAATACGTCCGATGATTTAATTGGTCCACATTTTGCGTTTACCACAGAGCCATACTTCTCTTAGCTTCCAAGGTCAAGTTATAAGCCTAAAATCAGTGGTAGTGCCAGAATTTGCCCGACAAGGGACCCGACAGGACATTATAATACGGGCCTAAAGCCTGATGTTGCCGACAGCAGCATAAGTGGCCGGGACCTGGGGCAGACCAGTACACAGACCAATCTTCTGGCATTAGACTTCCCCGCCCCCACCCCCCTCTTCCATTGCCGGCGTCACAGCCTAAAATAGTTCTTTAAATTCTCATTTGATTAAGAAGTCTCCTTATATTATATTATTATAAACATTATTAAAACCTCTATGGGATTTGATAGTTTGTTCATCAAATCCAAAACCTCGGAGCCAAGCACAGCTCTCAGGGGAAACGTTTATACATTAATGGGGAGGTTTCGCAGCCTCACGAAAACGATACGGTAACGAATACGTGTACTGTACGTCATTATCATTATCTCCCTAATGTTGCAGAATATGCACATGGTAGGCTTATTCGTAACTACTTAGTATCGATTGGGTGGGAAGAGAAAAGGTTGATTAAAGCGACTTTCCTAATGGCGTATAAAATAACCCTCAATACGTCCGATGATTTAATTGGTCCACATTTTGCGTTTACCACAGAGCCATACTTCTCTTAGCTTCCAAGGTCAAGTTATAAGCCTAAAATCAGTGGTAGTGCCAGAATTTGCCCGACAAGTGACCCGACAGGACATTATAATACGGGCCTAAAGCCTGATGTTGCCGACAGCAGCATAAGTGGCCGGGACCTGGGGCAGACCAGTACACAGACCAATCTTCTGGCAGGAGACTTCCCCGCCCCCACCCCCTCTTCCATTGCCGGCGTCACAGCCTAAAATAGTTCTTTAAATTCTCATTTGATCTTATTTTGCACTTTAACCGCATCTTCATAACTGGGTGGCGGCGGTTCCATTTCAACAGCCGTGTCGTTTGGCGAAGATGGACTCGTCATAGGTGCTGCGGTGCTCTGTGATCCATATTGTGTATAGCTTGGAGGATCCCTATTAAAACACAAAATAAAGAGCAATTTATAGTTTAAAATACATAGGGCTACATGGTACATGTTATCTAGAGGTACGTGTCCCCTCCCCAGAAAGCTGCGCGCCCAAACCCCACTGGAACCCCATTTCAAAACTTTTAAATATGCAACTGATTTACAGAACGAATTTAGGATTCGAGTTCCAAACAAAACCCCAGTGGCCCAACCGGTTAGGGCGTCGGCATAAACAGCAGAAGGGCCTGGATATCTGATGTGTGTAGAGTTATATTAATAAATAACTTGCATCTGATTCAAAGATCCTGTGAATTGCGTGGGCATGGCAACCCCATTGTGAGGATGAACTGCATAGTGCATCGGATACGGCACACCACTACTACCGCTGACGGCAGATAGATGTTCAGATGACGCCGTCGGAAAATAACCGGTCGCATTCCCGGCAGAAACATCGGGCATCGAAGACGACAGTGCATATCCCTGCCCATTGCCATAGACAGTAAACATAGTACGGTTGCTTATTCCACCTTCGGCCGTCGCTGGACCGACTGTGATGACGTTCGGTCCACCTACGCCCGTAATAACAGCCGGTGGGTTATAACCAGCTTGCACGACTGTCGTATTAGTCGGAATCGTAGGAACTGTCCGCGATGCCTCAGCAGCCAGCTTAAGTTTTTTGTAAAGATTGACCGTCCAAACAATCGACAATGCCCCTAATATTACGAGCGGTATTCCAACATATAATAATACTGAACTCCCAATAATGCCAGATATCGTCATATTGAATCCCATAACACAGAACAATATCGACAGCATGAATGCAAGGACATAAACCCGTCTCTCCTTTTCCATTCCTGGTACTGCTGGGGGCATGTTGATTCTGACCGCACTGCGATGATGATGACGACGACGACGATGGTGATGATGGTTACGATGATGACGTCTTCCGGCACGTGCCCTTCCTCTTCTTTCACCCTTGCCCATTGTGAATTAAGTGTAAGCTGAAAATAAGACGGAATAAATAATAATAATAATAATAATAATAATAATAATTTATATGTTAAAATACTAAGTAACTTTAGAAAAACATTTAACTACAGTACTTGAGCGTAATTGGTTGTTATTTTTTTTATTTCCAGTGTGGGCGGGGGGATGGGGGACATGCGCACCATAGATACGCCACTGACTGTATCGTCACGACTTTGCCAGGACATATTTCCCCCTTTTCAACATCATCACTCAACCCATCCCATTGGCGCTAACAACTGTCTCTTATACACATCTAGATGTGTATAAGAGACAGGGGGGGAGGAATCGAAAGTAAATTATTGTTTTCCCTCGAATCCGGCAAATACAATATTTGTATACAGGTCTCCCTTTAATTTAAGACCCCTCCAATTAAATACCACTTTTCTGTGGTCCCATATTAACAATATTTATTATTCTAATTAGAGACCGAAGCTGTAAAGCCCATAGAAACCCTGGTCCCAAAAGTGGTCTTTAATTGGAGGGAGACCACCTGTATTTCTTCGTTAAACCACGCCCTGAGCAGTGGTAAATCCTACTTAACAAGAAGACCAGTCGAATAGAAAACTGGTAAATACTCGACAAAACAAAATGGCTGCATAGTTACCGCAAAACACGCTGCGTAATCAAGGCTGCTTCGGATTGTGGCAGTATGGGTTTTTCGTCAAAAATGTTCTCATCCCGTTTTTGAATTCTGTTAGCCTACAATTATTTTTTGACTTCAATGTGGGTAAATATTATAATTTTTATTTTCTGAAATTTAATCTAAGTTATATTTACGCAAATGTTGTTGCTAAACAGACCAATCGGCCGTATTTTTTTTTTGGTCACGTGCATAACTTAACGCTGATTAACGCATTAAGGTTACGTTAATTTTCGTTGTCAACGAACCAGTTGAATGAAAATAATACTCAACGAAAATTCGTACTCAACGAAATGAACCAGTCGAATAAGCCCATTGTCTCAGATGTGTATTGATATGCAAACACCTTCCCCCGTGTTGATAGATCGGCAAACATATTGCAATATTGTATTATATTTCAATTGACGAGAGAAAATGATCCTCGCCAAAATAACATACAATACCTCTGCTACCAGCAACTTTAATGATTTAATAGTAACACGCCTGTAAATTATTGAAAGATGTTTTAATCTATGGAGGTACTCGGTGGCGGATGACGAAGGGAGACGCCAATCCGGTCCCCCTAAATTTGTCAAAATTATTGTTAAAATGAAGGGGAAAAAAGAAATTTCAGCCCCAACCATGGTTGGCTGAAGTGGTAAGACCCAGTTCCATCTGTGCAAGCCCCTAGTCTGTTCTACTCTATTTTGAATTTCTGGATCTGCCACGGTACACTTACACAATTTCAGTCCACTTCTGCCTTTACAACAGCAATGAATTCGTTTTACATAATGCATCTCAATTACACACTATCCTACCACACCAAAACAAATAAGTTGATTTCAAAACTGTATTTACCACCTTAATTTATAATACTTCATTGTAGTAGGGTAGCAAAGCATGGATGGAAAGACATGTCACAACAACCTGGGTGAGAAGTATTTTCGGATTACCTATAGAGTGGGAATATACCTAGGGGCCTATCCTCCCTGCTCTACCCAGCTCGTGACGTAAACCAAATATTGGAAAGGTTTAATATTACCATCCTCAGTTATGAACCAGCTATTATAGCAACCATACCACGTACCTTGCGTTTTGATTGTATTGACAACAGAACTAGTGACACAGAATCGCACTCTCCGCCATACTAAGAATGTCCTTCGTGTCGCATTGTATCATTCTTCAAGACTGAAGAAAAAAGAGGTACAGTTTTTTTTTTGTTATGATTGTATGCTCAACTGCAAAAATCAATATAGATACTACAGACTGGATTTATGAACAACAGTAATGCGACGTAACCATGCACCAGAGTACGCCTATTATTATGCCAGTGATTCACCGATCATCACTCAAGCGTACATCCGGGTCAATTCACTGTTCTTCTCAGTACTACCTCATACTAATTCTTCCATGGTCTTACGATATCATATCATAACAAACATACCAAGCTTAGCAACGTACCGCGAGAGAGATCGTGATGTAAATACATAATGGATGAAATGACTAAATAAGTAACTCGATTTCTATGAAATAGAAGATGAGTTGGACCATGAAATTGCCAAGAAATTAGAACCGGCATATGAACTAGCAGACCAAGAATCGGATGTTTTTAAGTGACATGTAATTTGTGTATACTGTACCTCCTTAATCTGATGTAATAGAAAATAAAACATTGTGTGGATAGACAAAGTAAACTAAATTCAAGCATTAAAGACGAAAGGGCAAGACATATGCAATAAACTGTATAAAAAATATAAATGACATGACAGGACAGGCCAGGGGTCAGAAATGTAGTAACAAATTTCAGTGAATGTAGAGACTATTCAAAATAGTAAACAATTATAGAATTAAAAAATTATAAATATTAACACCTTGTAGTCCACGAGGCATAATATTTCGAACGTCAATGTAGACAATTTGGCCCGTAAGGCGGCAATTTAATTGGGTCCGTGAGGAAAAACAAAATAATACAATATTTTAAACTACTATTTTAAATATTTCCTAATAAAGTAAAGACAAAATAAGCAACCCCCGAACTATCAAAACTAAGCAAACTTGAACAGAACTATCAAAAATAAAAAAACTCCCAAGATTGATAGGCTATTCTTATATCAATATTAGCTTAGCTATTTTTGACATATCAGCTCAGGGAAAGTGAAACCATGGACCTATTAATAGGTCCATGGTGAAACTTTATTATAGAAGTGTTAAAATTGTAATGATTGCAGGGTCCTGATGCATGATATTTGACCCATGGTAGAAGAGGCCCAATGTTAAACCAGAGGTAAGCACTAAATTTAGGCTGCAGTATTTTGCAATAGGTCGTTGAGTTTTATCGTTATTGACATTCGTTCTTAATTTTACATGGTAATAAAAAGTAAGTGAACAAAGAACAGTGCTCATAAAAATGTTTGTAGACTATTGAACACTGTATTTATTTTCAAAAAAATATATATATACCTGTCTCTTATACACATCTAGATGTGTATAAGAGACCAGAGCGGATATAAATAAATAAAAAGCAAGGTTCAACAGTATATTGATTAGACATTTTTTAGAGCTATATAATGATCAGAATTTAAAAAATACATCGCCGTCTTCAGGTTCCAATTAAAATTTGTAAATGTGTACACCTTAATTGCTTTGAAATACGTAGGAAGAGCTCCGTACTATTACTATAGGATATATAGGATATATTCTAAGTTATGACTGACAAGAAGATAAAAGTAATGTGTTTTGGTTATGTATATTTACTATTACTACTAGCAGGGTAGCTTAAATGTGTATGCACCACAAAAGCACGTATACGTCTGACTGTTGTTGTATTTAGTTAGGTTGAGGGTCGGTCTATATTTCAAGCATGATATTGTGAATACGCGAGCTGGCTAGCTTGTCTTGCCTAAGCTTAGGCCTAGATCCCAGCTACCAAATCCCCGTTACGGTCCAGTATTTAGCTAGACTACAGAGTTGTTGGAATTGTAGGAACTGAAAAAATTATACAACAGGCTGTATTAGGCGTAAGCCTTAAATATTTATTATATTTATTTACGTTTATTATTATATAATTACGTTTAGTATTAGGCCAACTGTATATTATTTACGTTAAGTATTATATTATTTACGTTTAGTGTATTTATTACGGTTATTATAAAATTTACGTTTATTATATTACTTACGTTTGCTATTAGGCTATATAACGTACGTTTATAATGTTATTATGTACGTATAGCCTATTATTTAATTTCTGTACGTTTATTATTACATTATTTACGCTTATTAGTGTATTATTCAATTTATTATTTTATATATTATTATATACGTTTGTTATATTATGTACGATTAGTATATTACGTATATTATTATATTACACAGTAAAGCCCATACGTTTATTATTATGTGCAGTACCGGTATACGTTTATTATTGTGTTATGTACGTTCATTGTTATATATAATTTTTGTTATTATGTACGTTTATTATATTATATAGATTTATTATATATGTACGTTTTTTACTGTATGTTTAGTATTACTTTATTTACTTTTAGTATCATAATATTTACGTTTGTTATTTAATTACGTACGTTTATTATTACAGTATACGGTATTATATACCTTTATTATTATATTATATATGTACGTTTATTATTTATATACGTTTGTTATTATATTATGTAGGCCCTACGTTTAGTATATACGGTAAAACCTCAAACAGAGGCCCGGACTTCTTTTTTTTAGGACACTCGGATGGGCTTCTTTTCGAGATGGGCCTTTTCTCGAGATGGACTTCTTTTCGAGATTATTACAAACTAAAAATGTGAGTTTCTTTTCAAAATGAATGCTGTAATTTTTTGGAATTGCTACAATAATATCATGTTTCAAATATATGTAATTCGAAATTCTAATTAATATATTTTAAATTGTAACCATGTTAGTACAATAAAATACTATTAATACTATCATAATCATCAACGATTACGTCAGTCTGAATGTAAGTACTATCTCATAAGAAGCCCTTATCTTGATTAGAAGCCCATGGCCTTCTTTCGAGATGGGTTCCTTTTCGAGTTTACTGTTGCAAACTGAAGAGGGGTTTACGTTTACATCATTTTCTATAAATTATATACATTTATTATTATTTTATCTAAATATTCACTATCATATTAGCTTTTTCCTATAGATATTCAATATTTTTTTCATTGCAGTTCACATGTGTATGGTAGGTAGTATATGTTCTGGATGTTCGCTATTTCAGGTAGAAAAGACTTTTTATCCGGTGGTAGAGTGACTTGCAGCTCTAGAATGCAATTGTTTAGTATATTATATACCTTGCATTTATTATTAGGACTATATTACATAGTATATATATACGTTTAGTATAATAATAATTATTATTATTTAGCATTAGGCCTATATCATTTACGTTTGTTATATTATTTACGTTTAACACTATATTTTTTTAAGGTTAAGTATTATATTGTTTACGTTTAGAGACAGTATCATATTATTTACCTTATTATTATTATTATTATTTATTATTATTATTATTTATAGAAAATGAATTACATTGTTTCACTGAATGTCCAAGATCCGACATCTATTATTATATTGTACAAATCAACCTCCTTTGCAGATTTAACGTCTGATTACAAATTTATTTTTTAATGAGTGATGGCAACCCTTGTCATAAGGTAGCTAACTTTGCTTACCAAATCCTCCCCTTATGTCATTCTATCGTGTTTACGTAATTTATATTTTAAGAAATGCTTGTATATTTTGTTTTAAAAATTGTGTCATTGTGTATTTTGTATGTTTTTTTTAATACCGGTATGTCCTGTTTTTCACTCATAAGAAGCCAGAATTGGCTGGTCTCAGTTTTAATTCAGAGAATGTGAATAAAGAACTAAAATAAACTATCTTTATTATACACGTGCGTTTATTATTGGGCATATTACATACGTTTATTATTACATTATGTACGTTTATTATATTATTATTCCGGGGGGACATGATGTGGTGATGGGGGCGGGTGCCAGAACCTATCGTCAAGGAAAAGAACATTTGTCCGGGAGGAAAAAACATTTCAGTATAATTTTTACAGAATATGAAAAATAAGCATTTTAGATTGTAAATTGTCGGGACCCGTCTACTTATTATTCGCATCCCCGGGACGTTGGACACCACCACTGTTGGGCACTCGAAAAGCTCAGCTGGTAGAAATATTGTTGGAGATTATCTTGTATGGAAATCTCTTTATCTATCTATCAAGTCTTAGGTCCTATTACTGTATATTTTCTTATTATAATTATTAATGTTTTTTTTCCAAATCTTTTAATTATTCTCAGGAATGTAAATTTAATTTTTTGTTGATATAATCTAAAATGTAATTTTCTAAATGCTGGTAATATTCGTAATCTTTTGGTCAAAATTGAATGGTCATGTTAATACTCATACTAATGGCATGGCCTCAAATCTCTTAAAATGTCAATATTTTTTATCTTATCACTATAAAAGCTGTTTTTTCCTTCACAATTCTATTTTTAAATATGGACTAAGGTTTATTGGACTAAATTTTACACAGATCAATCATGGCACATTGACTTTAGCTCATTGGGCATAATTTGAAAGGGCGTGCTTAGCTTGTATAAAACGTCCGCACGTAGGTTTCAAACTATTTTAGCAAAAAAATTATATATATGTATATATGTGAATGAAATTATATATATATTATTATATATATATGTACCCTATTCTATACTTGATTGTAATCTTGTACCTTTGTTTACATTAAATGCTGGCTGAGTTGATGTAATGGAGGTTAAGTTTAATGATTAGCAGTTACATTTAATTTAACCATAGATACTAGAGAACGATTATTTGGTAGGACAAGAGGCAAATTATGAATGAAATATATTTAAGTTTTTAAGTTATCGTATTTTAAGTTCAACATACAACTTATGTTACAGTCTTGGCACTAGTTATGTTGTTTAAAATACGTTTAATTTGATAAAATATTAAATGTTTGTCTGTACTGGTTTTATTAAAGTCTAATAAATAGGCCTATAATATTCTATTTTATTGTAATTATTGAACGTTGTAAATGGTTGGCGTTGCGGCTATACAATCAGGAAGTTTTAGTTCCGGACTGACATAATGACTTGCTAATCTGTCACGTATTACGAATATCATGACCGAATAAACATACAGGGGTGGATCCAGATATGTCCAAAAGGGATGGGGCGACAATGGGGCCGGTGGAGATGACACCACCTTAGGGGGTCCGGGGGCATGCGCCCGCGACCTTTTTGTTTTCCAGCCGAAAATAAGTTTTTTCC